AAATCTAGGTCACGTTTTACTTCCACCATTTAGAAAAAACGTTCCCCTGTAAAATTGACAAATTGTTGGATACGCGGTTTTTCCCCGGTGCCATCGATATCCACTATTAACCACTTTAAATACTAAAACATGAAATCATTAATGCTTGCAGTATAACTATTCCAAAGTATGAATTATTGCTGTTATTTCAGAATTTCATGGCTGTTGTGGACCCGGTAGAACTTATCCAAATTTCAAATTATTTTGCACAGTGTGTTTTTAGTACAGATAGAACATTTTTTTTATATAGCCATGAAAATATTTTTCACTTGGGGGGTTTGATGCACCCTAACTTACAGTACCAAAGGCAGGATTATTGTCCACGAAAAAATTTCCATAAACTGAAATAAAACAAGATACAAAAATAAAATGAAATCTACAACTAAATGAGAGCTATAAATATTAATTCCAAAATCCAGCTGAAATTAAATAAAAACCAGTTATTTTTTTTTTTAAACCGTTTTTAAGTACTATTTATCAAAAGTAATGCATTGTTTATTATTGGGCTCTTGTGCAATTCTCTTGAACCACAGAAACAGCCGATGACACTTCATCGTGACACTTTGTTGTAGTTAGCATTTATCCCAAGAAATGAAATGACTAAATCATAAACTAAAATACACTGCTCAAAAGAATTGAAGGAACGCTTATTAATCAGAGTATAGCATCAAGTAAACTAAACTTCTTGGATATTCATCTGGTTAGTTAAGTAGCAGAGGGGGTTGTTAATCAGTTTCAGCTGCTTTGGTGTTAATGAAATTAACAACAGGTGTACTAGAGGGGCAACAAAGAGACGACCCCCAAAACAGGAATGGTTTAACAGGTGGGGGCCACTGTCCTAATCTCTTCTGACTGTTTTTTCACTAGTATTGCATTTGGCTACGGTCAGTGTCACTACTGGTAGCATGAGGTGATACCTGGACCCTACAGAGGTTGCACAGGTAGTCCGACTCCTCCAGGATGGTGCATATTGATGTGTCATTGCCAAAGGTTTTGCTGTATCTCCCAGCACAGTCTCAAGGGCATGGAGGAGATTCCATGAGACAAGCAGTTACTCTAGGAGAGATGGACAGGGCCATAGAGGGTCCTTAACCCATCAGCAGGATTGGTATCTGCTCCTTTGTGCAAGGAGGAACAGGATGAGCACTGTCAGAGCCCTACAAAATGACCTCCAGCAGGCCACTGGTGTGCATGTCTCTGATATTTTGCTATTTTAGCGAAATAAATTATTTTTTAGTTTTAGTAATTCTAAGGTCATAAAAGTGTACTTCAATAAACTAAAATGTGGACTAGAAGTATATAACTATGGACTTGTTGTTATACTTTAAGTACACTTGTAAATGGACTGCATTTATATAGCGCTTTTCTACTCCTACGAGTACTCAAAGTGCTTTACAATGTCACTCATTCACACACCAGTGGAGGAGGCTGCCATGCAAGGCAGCAATCTGCACACTGGGAGCAATTTGGGGTTCAGTGTTTTGCTCAAGGACACTTTGAGGGGGGTCAGGTGGAACCAAGGCTCAAACCTGCAACCCTCTGGTTCCCAAATGATGGCACCACCCTCTTACTTCTTGTAAGTATGAGATCCACCCGGAGTACCTAAAGGCTCTGGATGTTGTGGGGCTGTCGTGGCTGACACGCCTTCTCAACAGTGCGTGGAGGTCAGGGGCAGTGCCACTGGATTGGCAGACCGGGGTGGTGGTCTCCTTATTTAAGAAAGGGGACCGGAGGGTGTGTTCCAACTACAGGGGGATCACACTTCTCAGCCTTCCTGGGAAAGTCTATTTCGGGGTACTGGAAAGGAGGGTGAGATCGATAGTCGAATCTCAGATTCAGGATGAACAATGCAGTTTTCGTACTGGCCGTGGAACACTGGACCAGCTTTACATCCCTTGCGAGGGTACTGGAGGGGGCCTGGGAGTTTGCCTATCCAGTCTACCTGTGTTTTGTGGATTTGGAAAAGGCTTACAACTGGGTTCCCCAAGGTGCTCTGTGGGGGGTGCTTCGGGAGTATGGGGTCCGGGGTCCGCTCTTGTGGGTGATTCGGTCCCTGTATGAACGGAGCAGAAGCTTGGTCCGCATTGCCGGTAATAAGTCGGACATGTTCCCAGTGTGGGTTGGGCTCCGCCAGGGCTGCCCTTTGTCATTGGTCCTGTTTATAATATTTATGGACAGGATTTCTAGGCGCAGCCAGGGTGTTGAGGGTGTCCAGTTTGGTGACCTCAGGATTGCCTCACTGCTTTTTGCAGACGATGTCGTCCTGTTGGCTTCATCTGCTGGGGATCTCCAGCGTGCTCTGGGGCGGTTCGTGGCCGAGTGCGAAGCGGCGGGGATGAGGGTAATGACCGAAAGAATGAGATCGCGAATACAGGCGGCCGAAATGAGGTTTCTCCACAGGGTATCTGGGCTCTCCCTTAGAGATAAGGTGAGAAGTTCGGATATCCGGGAGAGTCTCAGAGTTGGACCACTGCTTCTCCACGTTGAAAGGAGCCAGTTGAGGTGGTTTGGACATCTGGTGCGGATGCCTCCTGGGCGGCTACCCGGAGAGGTTTTCCGTGCCTGTCCTACAGGGAGGAGGCCCCGAGGCAGGCCCAGGACTTGCTGGAGGGATTATATCTCTCGGTTGGCCTGGGAACGCCTCGGCGTCCTCCCCGAGGAGCTGGTAGAGGTAGCTGGGGAGAGGGAGGTCTGGGTATCTCTCCTGAAGCTGCTGCCCCCGCGACCCGAACCCCGGACAAGCGGAAGGTAATGGATGGATAGATGGACATGGTGTTGCAGTACAAATGTAGTGTCGTGCCGGCGGGGTGTGCTCGTCCCCGCACGCACCGCACGTAACTGTAAACACTTGTGTTGTATTTCCCCACTGAGGCGCGTACGTTGGTCCGTGTCTTGTGTGAACCCTGTACGATCCTGTTAAGGAGTGCAATTAAAGAGAATGTTCTTCCCAGCAAGCAAGTCTCCTTTTTTTTCGCTGCCCGCATGAAGCCTGGGTTGGCCGGGCACTGCAGTATTTATAATCCTGTAATGAGGAATCATATAAATGCCAGTATTTCTAAACTTTCTCAGTCAACCATTTGTCAGATCTGCCATTTTAGTTATCATTTTCATCATAAAGGGTAGAAAAGGTGTTTGTGTACAATCTTTGGTCTGACTACTTTCTGACTTTCTGCTACTTTTTCCCTGATCAATGAACAGTTGAGGTTAATTTGCACCCCTGAGTGGATCCTTTGCGTTTACGTTTCTATGTCACAATGCCCGTGTGTTGTGCCGCTGGCGTGCACGCAAGACCTATGAACCAGCCTTATGTGTTTTTAATTTTTAGGTGTTCAAGTCCAGGGCAGACCCCATGACCTAAATTACATCACAATCACTGTGCACTGTGCTCCTGTCACGTACATGTGAAATATGAACCAGACTTCAGAAGTACGAATCAGAACGTTGGTACACATCCTTTTCCATCCGGGAGCATTCATTTAAAAGCCGTACAAAGAGCAACAGAAATGTTGCTTCCACTAGTTCCCAGTGCCTTAATAGAACCCACAATTTTTATATCAATTTTTTCAGGCCTTCGTGATGAATAGTAAGGAACTGGAGCTGCATTTACTGTACGGAAGTTATGGGAGGCAAAGGTCCTGCCGCAGTGCATCGCGATGGTGATGTGTGGTTCTGAAAACGGCTGAGGAATGCAGGGCCACTGAAGGCGGGTCTAGCCTGGCTCTGATTGGCTGGCTGTTGTCACATCAGCTTAGACTCCGTATCCAGGCTCACTCACTAAGGCATGGAAGTTAAATTTATATTCTGCTGGGCTGACAAAAGAGCCACGGTCCAGACAGAGAGCGGGAAAGAAAAGACGTGGGCGTGTGTTTTTTTCAAATGCATGCCCGTGGATATAATTTACACACACACACACAATATGTTGGAGTCCTGAGTACTGGTGGGTACTAATGACCCACGTGAGGCAGTGCTGGTTGTCGTCCCGGACAAGCTGCAGGGTAATTTGCTGGATGCATGGCAGCTAGGTTTTTGGGTCTACGGGTAACATGGGGACCTTCATACGGGTGGCTCGCAAGTCGACGTGGGCCAAGGATTCATCCGGCTGTGTTTTCTCACCTTTTAGCTCCTAGACTTTATCATCTGTGCTGATAGGAGACGTGTAGTAATCCTGTTGAAACAGAACAGCATCGCTCCCGTCAGCCAATGGGACGAGAGCAGGAGGAGACTGGAGGCGGTTTGAATGGATGCTGGTGTTGGAGTGTGATTCCACACCTTCAGTGCTGCTTTGGGGGGCGTCGGGGCCTCTGAATCTCACTGGGATGTGCCCCCCCCCAAAAGATGAGGATATCTGTTAATATCTGTTACGGAATGCATAATGATGCAGATCTTTCCTAAGGGGGGGGGGGGCAGTTTGGAAATCTGCTTCACTGTTTTTATCTGTGGTCCTGAAATTGTATTAAAGTATCAAAGAAAAATGGTTAATTAAAACATAGTATTGGTCAGTGTTTTCCAATCCAGTCCGTGGGGACCCACAGTCGGTCCGTGTTTTTGCTGCATTAGCCATCCCCCAGAGAACCAGATTGGGAAACAATGCTATTGGTGATTAAGAAGTTGAGTTGATCGTTTCATATCCCTGTGCGTAATACCTTTATGTTAAATGTCTTGCCTGGAATCGTGTCCTGTCTTTAATAGCCCTGGCAGACTGTAACCTCTCTCCTCAGCGTGTCTGTGCTTGGGAGCATGCAGACGTCAGCTTGGACGGGTGGGGATCTGTGTGTTAATTACAGCATGCATTTGAATGCATCTTGTTGTGATGTTCCTGCTGCCCCACCCCCACCCTACGATGGTGGGGAGATCACTGCTATTCACACGTGTGGGCGTGTCCCAATGGATTACCGCCCTTCATCCCGGCACTGGCCATCAGCATGCGCAGCGCTGCTCCTGCAGTCAGGATCTCCGCATTACCGTGCGGCTCGTCATCACCACCCCCCCTTCCTGTTCGCAGCAGCCTCGGCGGCCGGGCATGCGCGAGCCGGCGCTTGTGTTTCCCTGAGAGGCAGGCGGGCGGGCGGACAGCGAGAGAGCGAGAGGGGGATGCTGGGGGCTGCCGGCTGCCACGGCTGGGAAGGACTGACGCGCTGCCCGTCGCTCGCCTCCTGCCTGGCACTGCCCACCGCCGGAGTCGCGTCGCCCCCCCGCCAGCGGGCACCACACCAGGTAGGAGGGACAGGGGTCTCCATCCCCCTGCATAACGCCTGGGGGGGCGCGTCTCTGCATCTGATCCCACTCAGGATCCGTCACATTCTGTCCGGACGCCGCTTTATCCGGGAAAGGCATCCCATCGGCGGAGGACGGATCCCGCTTCGTTGCCGTGATACGCGGCTTGTCGCTGCCTTGCTAGCTGTCAGCTGCGCGCGTGCATCTGCGTCTGCGTACACAAAGGCTCGAAGTTCCCGCATCAGCATGCCAGACTGCAGCAGATAAAGCTGTATTGTGCTCGCCTGGGTGGAAATGTAGCATAAGGACAGCAGACAATGTCAGGTCTGATCAAGGGCGACTGTCGCCTGCTGTGATTTTTTTTCTTTCCTCTGTCTCTCCTTTTCTGAGCTGTCCTTGCTAATCTGCTGGTTTCATATACGGAATGAGATTCTTGTTCGTTTGGTGTGTGTCTCCAGGATCATCTATGGCCATTGGTCGCTGGAGACATGTGCATTACTACTCCTGCCGGTGTCCCCGGGGTGTCGGGGGGGGGGACAAGGAAAGGCCTGAAGTCATTTTGCCTTTACCACAAAGGGGAAGAGCACCAGTCATGCTCCTGGAGCAGCTGGGTTTGAGTGGTTTGCTATTATAAAGTTACATTAACTCATAGAATTAGCATAGAAACAGGAGGGTTTACTGGCTGGGTGGGGGGGGGGCTGTTATCTGCAGACAAAGGCTGCTTACACTGGGTTGTGTTTTAAAATCCTGGTTATTTTTCTTAACTAGCTTCAATTGCCTTCCTTCCTGCTTCTGCTTTGTATGTTAATACATTTTAAAACGTCATGCTGCATGTGATTACACCTCTGTCAAAGTCAGGGTGGGGCTCTGCAGCTGTGTGTGTGTGTGTGTGTGTGTGTGTGTGTGGTCTCCATGATGCCCATTTCAGCCCCCGCTTAGGCCACTGCTTCAGAGAGTACATAGCAAAGCCTCAGCTTGTGGCAGGCTATGGCTTAGAGCCCCCCACTCCCCATCTTAGCTGGGGGAGCACAGTGGCCATGGAGAGATGCACAGCTAGCTTGAGTTATTAGATGGGTGACTTTAACCATCGTGTGAACAGGATGTATCAAGTGACGTCCTCGGAGAAGCAGAATATACCAGGAAGGGGTGGAGTTTGTGTCGTTTTTAAGGCTCAGAAACAGCCGAACGCATTCATACACTGATCTGAGGGAGGGATGAAGGCTTGGCCCTCGAGTGCATCCTGCCCGCTGGTGGTTCCCTTCAGATGCTGTATGAGTGCTGAGATGCAGATCTCGGCGTGTGCCTTGTAAGATCTCTCCATCGCATTAAGTGTGCGCTTCTAAAAGGTTCGGTGCCCAGACACTCGCAGTCAGTACCTGGCCTCTGGTTTCTCTGCACCATCTCTGTAGGCGACAGGCGCAAACCTGCAGCCTGTTATCACTCTGCTTTTACCCTTGTGATTTGAGAAGCCCAGACAGGTGCTGTTTAAATGTACAGTGTCTAGTATGAAGAATAAAATGTTTTAATCAATTATCAGTACATTTTCATTTGGGCAGATGGAAGATTATACAGGACTTATGTATGTGACAGTTTGCCTGACGTGCAGCTTATCAGACATGAGAAGATGATGATGGAAACCTCCCTGTCTGACTTTATTGCATCTACAAAATGTGGACAGTATGCTGAGGTTCTGTCGAGCTGTCAGACTGCAGAGCAATGGGGTGAAAACAGAAAATTCCCATAATTTTATATAGTTTATTACATACATAGTTCCAGAGTAAGAGCTAGGAGGCATTGAACAGAGGGCAGGCAAAATCAAGATTTAATGTTTCAGGCTGTAAAATTGCTGGCACTGTGGCAGCGTTTCAGAGGGGTGCGGTGAGGTCAAAGGTGACCTGGGGAGATGAAATGTGATGAGGGGAAAATAGAAATTCAAGGTGACAATGTATGGAATAGAATGACCCTTTATTGCTGTTGCATACCATGTCACTAGTCACAAGTACCAGCGAAAAACTGGCCATCAACCCGACCATACATGTACAAATAGGGGGTAGACAGGTCAGGAAGACGGGGGATATAGGAAGACCAGAGAAAACAGAATTACATGAGGAGAGAGGAGGAGAATAAAAAAACAGCCCCCAGACTGTACTCCAGTAGGGAGTATAATGTAGGAACAGAAAAAACACCTCAGCAACATAAGCACATGGTCACAACACCTTAAAAAGTCGTGACTTGCACCAGGGGAGGGGAATGGGGAGGTGGAGGTAGTCCAGCATAGACAGACAGCCATCCGGTCCTGCAGCCAGAGGCGCTGGTCACAGACCCGCCTGTTCACGCTGGGGGTATGAAGCGGCGAAGGCGTTGGATTGGGGGAGTGCTGATTAGGGGGGGGAGCCAGACCCAAATATGGCAGTATCTCTGCTTGCTCCATATTAATAATAAGAAATTTTAATTATTGAAATTGCAAACTCAAATTTTTAATTCCCTGTGACCGTAAACAGAAGCTGTGGTTAGGATGGATGGATGGTTGGATGGATGGATGGTTGGATGGATGGATGGATGGATGGTTGGATGGATGGATGGATGGATGGTTGGATGGATGGATGTCAGTGTGCTTTTCAGTGCTGAGTTGATTGGGCTAACAGTGCATGCAGAAAATGGTCTGATGAACTTGTGTGCTTTTTGTTGCAGGAGGGGCACATGGCCTGTGTTCTACCGCGGAAAGACGAGGAACGGAAGAGAGAGAGCCACAAGAATGCAGTGCACAAGGTACGCTCACTGGAAAGGCCTTTACCTCTTCATTTCCTACACTTTTGTTTATTCCTTCTCCTAAAGGTTCCAATGAGGAATGGAGACATGATCATACTGATGTATCTCTTTGATGTATCTCGTTAGGAGAATACCCTGAAGATTCACCAAGACACTTTCAAATTTCAGGCTTTTTGGTCAGTAGGAACCACCCAGAAAAATGGGTGATTAGACGGAGGGTTAAAACGTAAGAGTTCAGCGAGTCTTGGCTGTGATCAGCTGTGGCACGCTAGAGCTGGAACTGTGAGTGTCAGCCCACTGGCTGCGGTGATTTGATCACACGCGCCATGACTGCACGAAGGAGAGCTTTAAGTGATCTGAGAAGCGCCTCCCAGCATCCTCAATGTGCAGCGTAGGCCTTGTCTTAAACTATTTTGTGCTGTTACTGTAAGTTCAGATAGTTTCCATAGTCCTTTTAATACACTGTCAGTCTATGACATTCCTATGACGTGTCCTGAGGAAGGAAACTTACTGCAGGGTGTAGTGATATATAGAAAAATGACTGCAGTCTCCCTACCTTGGCTGCTGCTTCTCCATGATTTAAGAGCCCCCGAAACCACTTGGTCTTTTTTTTAATGGAGGGGGCGTTTTACTCTCTCTGCAGGTGGTGGGGGTGCTTTCAGGTGAATTACGAGTTTGCTGAGGTTTGGAATGTCGATGCTTAGTGGAGCTGTATGCCTGGGCTTGTGGCTGGGTGATTGTTATGGACCCGGTAGCCCTGATTTAGCCTCGAAGTGCCTGGGCTGCCCCCTCCTTCCCACTTCCTGAAGGTCCTCTGTCGCCCGCCTCTTTAATATTTCGTCTCTGGTGTGTTATGACACCATGGTAAACATCAGCCATGTCTCCTGTTAACCCAACCTGCAGGAGGGCTTCGTGGAGATTGATGCTCATGTATGCTAATTCAAGGACTTCGTTTCCCAGAGTAGGTGTGTGAATTGTTCCTTTTAGGCCTGGTGTGGGTCTGCCTTGCCGTTTAAAGCACTAGCAGTGTGTTTCACTGCAAGCGATTCTGCAGCAGCACCAATGCATGAGTGACGTGCATTTAGTTTTGTATCCCGATGCAATTTATTTCTTAATGTTTAATGAAGTGTATCTTTGCCTCTGCATTATCTTAATGATGTCGGAAATATCGGTATCCATCCGTTTACTCAGTCTTGGCCGATGTTGCCGACCGATATTTAAACATTAGCAGTACCAGAGCTAAAGACACGACTAGTACAATAATAGTGGTGGCTGTATTGCACAGAAAGCTGTTTTCAATAATGGAGGACGAGGGATTTTGTCGGTTCATTCACAAAAGTACCGGCCCTCAAACTGTTTATAATATGTAACCTGTAGAGCCATTTTTTTCCAATTTCCACAAAATAAAATCAGCTTAACCCTAACCCTATCGGTATTGGTGAAAGTTTCAGTGTACCACGACATCACCTGTTTTCCTCCAAATGAGAACAGAAGCCAGATGGCCTATGTAAGGGTGTGTCCCATACGCTGAGGTGCGGGTCCCATGGCTCGTGGGGGCGCTGGACCCCGGCGTGGCTTTTATCTCTGTCCCTGCCTGGGCTTGTGTGAAGCAGCACGGTCAGTTTCGAAGCTGCTTACATCACTGGATCACACTGCCGGCCAGCAGGATGTGGGGGCGCAGTGCCGCCTTGTCCTTCCCGGTGTGTCGGGCCGTCTCTACGCCAAAGAGCATCTACCCTGGTGTCAAGCGGACACCATCCGGCCGACCGGCCATCTCAGTGACAGCCGGCAATCCGCTATCGTTTTCTCTCACAGCGGGCCAGAATGATCACTCTGGCAAGTTGCTCGAGCTCGTCACTATCCCTTTTGAGACGCTTCCTGGGTTAAACACGATGGTCCGTGCACGTGGTTACGGCCCGTAGTGATGACCTGCCGGTGTCTCTGAGCCAGACAGGTGGAAACTTTCATGCGCTGGCCTCCCTGACAGTTAATGCTTGAGTGACTGTGAAAAGTCTCCAGTTAAGTATTACAGAAAATATTGCTGTGGGGACTATGGAAGTTAAAGTACGACACCATTACGAGCAAATACTGTGTACATCATCACCAGAGCTACATGGCGAGCAGGTATTTAAAGCGCCCTAGATACTTGTGTAGTGCCATGTTCGCAGTGCTCTCAGGTTTATGGGACGAGTGTGGACAGATTGTGGGAGGGGCCTGTTTGCCTCTGCAGGTGCGTGAGTTACGCTCAGCCTCTCCGTCTCTCCACCACTGGGTGCTAAAGCGGGAAACCTGCTGCAGCCTTAATGCCTCGTGCAGTTTATGAACCTTATAGGTCACGCAGTAGTAACCATGTGATTTGTGATAAAGTTACCATGGTAAAGCGTCTTGGTCCTAACGGGGTAATGATGTGGATGGTGGCGGCGTGTGTGTGTGTGTGTGTATGTGTGTGTACACGTGTAACCCGTGTGTGTTCGTGTGACCCGTGTCCTTCCAGGAGAAGCGGCGTCAGGCCATCCGCAATGCAGCCCAGCAGTGGGAGGGCTTCAAGGCCTGCTTGGAGCTGCCAGCCCAATCTGGCTCCAGGGACGAGGGCAGCCCTGAGCACTGCCCCCCCCAGCAGAGCGACGGGCCGAGCCAGCAGCTCTCCCCGGACGAGCTGAAGTACGTGCAGGCCTGTAGCACGTTGGATGGGACTCGGGGGGTTCAGGGGGAGGTCGGGTGACTGAGATTATTACTTGGTTTCTCTCTGCAGGCTGACGTGTCCAGCCGGAGCCTCGGAGAGACCAGCTGGGGGCAGCGAGGCACGAATACGCACCAGTCGGCCCAGTAGCCCACGGGATCCCAGGTACGAGGTCTGTGAAGAGGTGCTGTAGCAGAATGCAGGTTCCATCTGGTAGATATGAGTCTTAAATCATCGTTATTGCCTCGTTAGGATAGAAGAATGCTGGGATACAGTTGGTAAGTTGGGGGACGGTATGTGGCTCAACATGTGACTCTATGCCCATGATCAAAGGTCAACAAAGGTCACCAGTTCAAATCCCAGGGCCGCCAGACTGATGCCACTGGTGGGACCCTAAGCAAGGACTTGAACAGCCAGCTCCAGGGGCACTGCACACTGCACACTGGCTGCCCCTGTGCAGTGACTCCACCCCCAAGCTCTCACCTGTTTGTTTGTGTCATGGAGAGCAAGATGGGGTCAGCAAAAAGAGAATTCGCTGAGCTGTACATTCCAGGTTTCAACAGGGATGAATACAGTGTCGCTGTCTTCTTTCGGTGTGCGGATCCTTCAAGCACGCATCCCAGGTCCCATTTAGCGAGGGGGACCAACCACAGACTTTGGCTTTGTGGCTGGTGAAATTTGGGTAAATTTTTTTGCTTCCTCTGAGCTCCCTGCAAGACAGTGCACATTTTTGCTCCCTCCCAGCTCAGTGTGTCTCAATCGCTGCAGAGCTACAGCTGGGGCCCGCTTCAGAGTCTCTTTCTGGGAAAATGAGAAGCTTGTGAGTGTTGAGGATGCAGATTCAAATCCTAAGTTCCACCCCTGATGCATGTAGAGCAGTGTTTCCCTGTTCCTCGGGGATCCACAGATGGTTCATATTTTTGCAGCCCCTGATGGATTATATCACACTTTGTGTTTTGTGAGGACAATATTTATCATATCAGTCAATAAAGACAAAGTATAACAAAAAACTCTTTTTTTTCCCCATCTAACCTTTAATTATTTTTTTCCATTATTCTTGGAATAAGAGAAATTGTGCACTGAACTATAGTCCGGTTTAGTGTGAAAACAGCTGATTGATTACAGGATTTCCATCCTTGTCATTTCATTTGTTACTTTTGAATGGATCAGTAATTGTAGCTGATAAGCGCCTCGTTAATGATGGTGCTGATTGTGGCTTGACTGGCAGCTTTACATTGCAAAGGCAAACATATGAACTCATCTCCATTCAACACAATCAAACTGATGATATCAGAAAGGAAGATGGATGTATGACACGATGGGCATGCTGCTGACCTCTTAGTGTGTTGTGTTTGACTGGGAGTTGCTAGAAAAATGAGTTACATGTTGGCGTATCAGGGTGAGTGTGACAGTTTGCGAGGATGAATGAGTTTCTGTGTGTGTGTTTGAAGTATCCCAGCTGTTCTTCTGGGAAATGGAATGCGAGTTGAAATTTGGTTCCCTGTGAGTGTGAAGTGTATTTTTTAGATTTGTCTGAGGTCGAGTGTGTGCATGTTGTGCATATATGGGTGTTTCTCTCCATTGTGGGTCTGTCTCCAAAGTATCTGTTGAAGAATTTATGAAGACATTTTTTTCTTGGTAATGAAAAGCGCTTGAACTGTTTTCTTTGTATCTGTTTGTGTTGTGATTGCTGCAAAGACAAAAGATTGAGAGAATGTGTTCCTGAAACTTTCCAGAAAATTAGTGTTAGAGCTAGTGCACACCCACTAACTATATTTTATTTTACCTAAAGTTAAGAGGACCAAGGTGACCGGCGGGAAGAATATAAATCATTAAGGCATCAAAATGATGAATGTAGGAAGTTTGCAGGCCTGAAGAAGGAGAGGTCATTGTGAAACGTTAAATCTGGGAAATGTTTTAGTAATTGTATGGAGAAAACTAGCAGGAGTGAGTGTTTTAGGAAAAACAGCTGCAGTAGTGGGAAGGATCAGAGAGGTGGAAGATTTATGGTGAGTGTGAAGGAAATTGTTCCATCAACCTGTGTAGACTTACAGTGAAACTGAGCCCCAGAGACCTTGGACGGGGGGCCACCAATATTCAAGATTCAAGATCCTTAATTTGTCACCTACATACAGACTTTGAGGACTCTTGAAATATAGAACATTAGCTCCTTGCAAAACGATTGAACCACTCTTAAAATGATAAAATTTTCCTGAATTACATTTGATACACATATTCATCCAGTCCTTCTTCAAAATATGTTTTACTAATTCTGGTTTATGTTTATTTTTGAGAAGACTGAACAGGCTGACTTTCTGTAATTTACCAAGCTTGGACAGTCTCATAAAGCTGGGATTGTTATTGTAATCTGCTTTGTGTATGAACATGAGATTGATGTAGACTTAGTCCTCTGTTATGACTGGAGTGAGTTATCGTCACGCCGTCCAGCTGAAAGTGGACGCCACATTCCAGGCGGGGCTCTATGGCAACATGGCAATCGGCCACCTCAACGCCAATCCGCCGTGAGACAAGAGACAGACATGAGAGTCGCTGCCACCACCACGGACATGACATTGGCTGCTGGCTCCTCACTTCTCCTGGCCTGTTTTGAAAGAATTGGACCTTTGAGACTGACATAGGGCACACTCTGGTTAGGGGGTGTAATGTTTGCTAGCCAGTGTTCAGGAAAGCTTTCCTGGCAGGAAGAATAAAAGTATTATCTATAGAGATGGCGTGCTCCTCATGTTCCTCTACAAGTCAGGGTTTTGGTTGTCAAGATGAATATTTTAGCCTGGATTAATTTTCTGCAATTTATGACACTCTCAGCTCCACCACCTAAATTTATTGCTGAAATGTGTCCCACATTGGGGAGGAAAGTGTACAAGGATCAGACCGACAAACCATCTTAAAGTGAAGCAAATGCACAGGTCACCTGGCTGCCCCAAATTTAAACTTATTGTGCTTTTTTAAAATTGGGCCATTAAGTGTTTGGAGAAGCAAGGAATTTGAGGTCCCCTGATGAGTTTTTAGAGGCAGCGTGTGCAAGACCATGTGGACTGCAGGATTTACTGTGTACAGGTGCTGGGCAGAGAAATCTAATTTTTAGATGGGGAGTATTATTCCTACCTCTTTGTAAGTATGGGGGAAAGTCAGAGAGGATGCTGGGTAAGATTGTCTAAGTACTACATTTAGCCAGGAGGGAAACCATGTAATTCTCCCTAATGATCATCTAGAGGGGTTTTGGCAATTTTTTTTGACAAATCAGGACTTTGCTCATTCCAGGATATGAATGAGCAACATGGTTTGCCATGTTGCTCAAGGACCAAGGTAACAGCTGAAGATGTCAAAGATCAGCTACTTCCTCACCTTACCAGGAAACCTTATGGTTAGATATCAGGATGGAAAACAGTGTGGAGTTGAAAGCTGAATTCCTCTGGTCAGAAGTCACTCAGTTTGCTACTGAAGAAGGGCTATGGATTCCTCAGAGTACGGCTGGTTTTTCTAACATGCCTCGATGCCTCTGAAATGGCCATTTGTGATGCTGGAAAAGAAAATCCACACCTGCAAAGAAAGAATCACGGTTGAAACCTGGAATGTACAGAACATCAAGTAGGGACAGCTGGATGGGGAACAGAGGGCAATGGGTCACTTACAACTCAGCAGCTTAGGCATCCATGAATTTAACAACTGAAATAGGACACTTCTCGGTCAGGTCAACACACCATCGGGAAAGATAATTGACACTGGCTGTCATAGTCAGGAGGCACACTGGGCCTCTCTCACATTTGATCTTATTTAACTTTACACCTTACATTTTCATGAATTAAGGGGGAATCTGGAGCAGATCAGCAAATGGGCACCTCTGATGAGTTTGACTTGATTGGTTATATCAGTGCCTTTAAATCTGGCCCTTGATTCCAAATCCAGGCCTTGTTTTCCGTTCTGCCAGGTAGTTAGTTTAATAATTATTGATTCTGATTGGCCAGAGGCTTCACACCCGGCTCATGGTTAAAGGAAGGCTGGAAAATCAGCTTGAACCTTGAGGGCCGTGATTTGAATAGCCATGGGTTACATGCTTATATGTACATACTGTTCCTTTCTCATTTGCAGTTTTTATTGTTATCATTACTGTTTATTGTCTTATTTTCTTGTTGCCTTTGTATTTTGACATACAGTAACTTTAATAGTGTCTATGCATTCTGTTTATTTTTAAAAATAAAGTTTCATTGCAAATGTATGATTAGGGAGAGAAAAAAAATTGCAAATCAAGAGAAAATAATCCGATTATCATGTTTTGCTGGACGATTTGTCCCTGGCCGTGTGTGATGCTGTATGTGGTGATTGCAGGTCCCCGGAGGCAGGGGGCGCCAGTGTGCAGAGCTTGTCCCTGTCAGACAGCCACCTGGCTGAGCTGGATGGTGACACACTCCGCCTGTTCGGGCTGGGGGCTCTGGAGGCCCTGGAGCGGGGCTGGGGGGCTCAGACCGCTGGCGCTGTCACCGTCATTGCCTTCCGCTACATCCCCTTCGACGCCATCGCGCCTACACTGCCCCGCATCAGGGTGAAGTTCCCGAACCTGTCGGTGAGGTCGCGGGCCATCGTCCACTGGGATACCCCTGCACTGGGGCGCTGTGGGCCAGGGCTTGGTGGTGTTCCTTCAACGTTCCTGTTTGTGTTCCTGACAGCACCTGATCTTCTTCGAGACCAACATCAGCCGGCTGCCCCAGTTGGGCGCCCTGGCTCAGGTCCGGCGCCTGGAGCAGCTGACCATCCACCCCGACGGGAACCCGGTGCTGGACCTGGTTCTGTGGCGGCCCTTCGTCATCTTCCGCCTCAGCCACTTCAACCTGCAGAAGATCAACGGCCAGGAGGTCGGTTCCAGGTTGTTCATGACCCACGTTTTGGGGTGCCTCCTGTCGAGCGATGAGCGTGATGGGTTTGTGTGTGACAGGTGACCCTGGAGGACGTGATCACGGCGGAGAGACTCTTTGGAGCCCTGGGTCATGTCACTGGCACTGAAACCCCACACTATCGCCTGCTGCTGTTACTGGATGAGTCCAGGTGAGTCCAATTTGTAGTGTGTGTGGCATGTGGACTGACATGATGACGGTAAGGCAGCTTCCTCTGAACCGGAAGCCATTTGGCATCCTTCGATCGGCCTGATCGGTCCTGATTCATGATCATGATTAATAGCCAAACCCAAACGAGCAAAGTAAAATCATTGGTCTCACCTCATCTGTGCTGATGTACTATTAATATCTGTCTGAGTCTTTAAACATGTCCTCCTAGACTGCTGTTGCAACATAAGTTCAGCAAAACGTGGAAGGACTCCAAACCTGCCATTCATTTTATGGGGAACTTTCTTGATCACGTGGAACAGGAAATTAGGTGTTGTTCTGCTGCTTTGAAATTGTTGTATTTTTTTATAATGATGTCGGATTCAGAGCTCCCCTTGTCAGCGGCCTAAGACTCATAACGTTCAGCTAAGAGCCATACATACTGTACTCCGTCCTGTGTGCTGTAATAGTTCTTAAATAACTCATGCAGCACTTGGTTGCTTAGTGCACGACGGACATGACTCAAGTTCATTCTTCAATGAGAGCCCCACGTAGATCTTACAGCGACCAAAGACTTATTTTGGTCTGTTTCCCCAAAGCACCAGATCAATTGTTGTTAAGACATTATTTTTTTTAATTGCTCCTGTAAAATAAGATTTTGTCCCAGTGTTCACTGTCACTAATTGTCATTACATTCACCATCATTAAAATATGAATGGAAAATTCTGTCATGCTGAACGACAGTCAAAAGCCACACTGCCAAGACATCTCTGGCTGCTCTAATACTTTATTCCCAAAGAATATTTGCAGCGTATAAACCCCAGCTCGCTTTTCTGGGACGCGGCTCCAGTTGTGTTTAACGGTTGTCCATATATGTGGATGTAAATCAGTCTCTCAGTGCTTCCCGCAAACCCCTCTCCTGTCTCAGTAAGAGGCAGGCTGATCCCATCAACTGCTCAGGCCCTTAGTTCAGGACAAAAAGCACTTAAGCTTTCTGGCAGGAGTGTTTGGATCAGGTCGGTGTAGCCCGGTATTCCGGGCAGATAATAGTGATGAATAGGATGGAAGAATCCAGAGCTGTATCCGCTTCGGATGTCCACTCAGCTTATAGAAGCCACACAGCTGAAAATGGTCATGCGGGTGTTTGCGAGCAAGACGCCAACAAAAGGTCAGTTTTGGAGTCGCGCCCCAGTTGGCTGTTCTGCTGGAAGCTTGACATGGGCATTTCAGGGCTTAGAGGGAGCTGTCAGGATTCCGATAAAGGTTGTAATTGTTGCAGGCAGTATGTGTCCAAGCTGTCTGTCTGAAACAGTGGATCTTTTTGATGGTATTTTATAGATGGGCTTTACTCAAATGGAATTACGGTTTTATGGTATTGATAAATTACACCGTACAGATGCGACTTGACTTACGATGGGGTTACATCCTGATTAACCAATCATAAGCTGACAATACCATAAGTCAAATATGAATATCCATCCATCCATTTTCTGTAACCACGTATCCTATTCAGGGTAGCAGGGGTCTTACCCTTGGGGCTATGGGCACAAGTCAGGGAGCAGCCCAGGATGGGGCGCAAACTCATCACAGCAAATATGAATATGATATGATAAATTAATGACTATTGGTACTGAATCAGTATGTGTTTAAACACAAGAAATACATGGTGATGCTGCCATCAGCTGGCATCAGTAGAGTGTCGTCCAGCGTATCGCTAGACAGGGAACGGATCAAAACTTAATTGGATCACTTCCGATTGTGCATCGCTATCGCACCACCATAAGGCTGAAATATTATACGTCGAATCATTGTAAACTGTATATCATTATGTTCTGTATATCATTTTATTTTCAATGCTGTTCATTTGTTTAGCTTTGGTTCTCTTCCAGAGCTTGAGAAGATCTCCCACTGTGTAATCCTCAGACATCATTTGTATGACTGTGTACACTGGTTTAGGTTTTAGTGGAGAGCCTATTTGCCCATTCCGCATATAAGCGAAGCTCATGTTTTATAGCGTTTTTGAAAATCTTTTTAAAAACAGGCTGTTTTTTGTCCGGTGGTACAGTGATACGGCAGGTCTGTCACCACACACATCCAGGGTTGCAATAGCCTCCAGCAAATCCCACTTCCACTGTAGTTTCCTGTGTGGGCTGCGACGGTTCACCTCCCCCCCCCCAGACCAAAGACAGTTAGATTAATGTGTGTCCCTAAATTACTCTGTGTGAGTATGTGCATACCCTGTACCCTGTAACAGACTGGTGCCCCCCGCCTCGTGCTCTGTGCTTCCTGGTATGGGCTCCAGCTCCACCCTGACTCTGTTCTGGATAACCGGTAGCAGGATGAATGGATGGATGTGTTTCATAGTTCTTGTTCTTCTGTTCCTAGCTTGCTACATACACTGTGATACCAAAGTCCGGCTGTCTGCTCTCCTCCTCACAGGACACTGTTAGGGGCAGCTTGAACTTGTAAGAATGCAAAAAATGTCTTGAAATTGTACATAAGTCATCTCACATTTAGTAGCGCAAACTCGTTTGCCTTATTTGGGCCCTGAATGCTGTTTCCCCGGTGCCTTGTGATGGGTTGGTGCCCCATCCTGGATTGTTCCCTGCTTTGCTCCCGTAGCCTCCAGGATAGGCCCCACACCCCCCCCGTGAAAAGTGATTTCAGACAATGAATGGATAGATGGATGCCGGTACTCCATCCTCTCTCATACTTTCACTGCACTTTTCCTCGGTCACTGGCTTGTATTCTTTCCCATGATGCTCCGCAGAAAGCGTCAGCTGCAGTTCCTCTTAGACGGCCGCGGCCGCCGGGCTGGGCAGAGTCCCGAGGAGCTGCGCGATAATGGGAAGCTGCTGGGAGAGGGCCTGAGCCGCTCGCTGTTCACCTACCCGACCCGCGACGCCGCCGTGGAGAACACGGAGGTCAGCATCACCCGCTGGAGGCCCGGCTCAGACCGCTGTTCCGCTTAAGGCTCATCTAAGTGCCGTCATGCCCACGGAACTTAGGTAGATATCGTGCTCATCAGCACACGCCAACCTGCCATTTTCTCCCCTGCCACAGGAGGGCGCCGTGGAGGCATTGGAGAGGGCCGAGGCTATCCAGCAATACCTGCGCAGCCTGTTGCAAAGGGCGTTGGACACCAACACCAAGGGGGAGGCACTGAACAAGTTGTGGCCCTCTGTGTTCGCGGAGATGGTGCGGGACTGTGTGCTGGACATGAGGGACCGGACAGCTTACCGCCACTCCTGCCTGAACAGGCTCTCCAAAGGCAAGCGAGCAGAGGCGCAGGGGGAAGGACTGTAATGTCCAGCCCCTCTCTGCCGCAATATGCCCTCTGCTCCACCCAATCTCCCATCTCGCAGCACTACCAGGATGCCGAGCACTTAGCAAGTGGTACTGAATACACCGTTCAGACATCTGCTCTTGTTTACTAACCTCCTAGTCTTATTTTAACTGACTCCCAGTGTCTGCGGAGGACTTTAGGTTTTGCCAAGGACTGCTGTGGAAATGCCGGCTCGTTGACTCTCGTTTAGGCTTCCTGTTGTGAATGCACAGCACCATGCTTATGAACGGACACATTTTAGTTCATACTGGACACAGCTGCAATGATTAGCGTCTTCCCTTCCTGTTTGATACCGGTGCCGCCAGACGTGCCGCGGTGTCTTGACCCGCCGTCAGAGGGCCCCCAAACTCCCGTCCTTCTAACAGCCTGTCCTCTTTCTCTGACCGTTAATGACATTGGAGGTTCGGGACAGTATGTTATGGGTTAGTGTTATGGAGGCCATGAAAATATTAGGAAGGTTGTTGAAAATGAAACTAAATATTTTTTCAATACTGTATATCTGCATTTTTTCTTATAAAATGTAAATTTAGAAAAACTCTAGTTTTACTAAAACTAGTCTAATCACTGAACAGCTGGTATTCAGGTACCTGCCCCTCTCACATCAACAAATGAAAGTGCCCCCCCCCATGATATTCCAATATGGTATTTTCTATAACCCACAATCACTTAAAATCTCATGAAAATTTACACCCCCCAGGCCAGCAATGAGTACCAGTTGGCCACGCCTCTCTGCTCGAGGACCCCCCACCAAAAGTCTGTGTACGTCACTAGGAGAGACATACAGATTTTGTTAATGTTTCTTGGTTTAATTGGCCCAAACCTTTGCTCTTTCAGTGTATTTTTAAAATGTAAGTATATGCATAAGCTTCTCCCCATGGAGTTTGCCCACAAACTGGTGGCCAGATTAATAGTGCTGTATTGCAGTGAGGATGTTGGAGCGTGCTTACCCCAGGAGCAGAGGAGAACTGCGGGTGCTCAGCTTTGGGACAGGAAGGCCTCCGTAAGCTGTGCATAGGGTTCTGCTATTTCTCTGGCCTTGCTGCTTCTGCAATTCTTCCTCACACAGTAGGGGGCGCTGCCAGTGCGGGAAGGTACTGCACAATTCTGTCAGCTAGCAGTACAGTAAGTTGACAAGAAAGCTAATGTACAGTGAGTTAAACTGCCAGTCGCTGGCTCGCTGTTCACTGGGGGGTGTATGTCACTGTGTTTTAGTCCAGTATGAGGAATGACTGCAGTTGCCCCTTTGTAATCCCTGGCACCTTGTAGCCAGGCGGTATAAACTTTAAACTTAATAGGTGGAGGGCAACGGTTGTGCCCAGCCGTCGTGAAGCACAGAAGCCAGTTTGTAGGAGTCACCCACTAATCACAGCTCTTGATGAAGATATTCTTCACCTAATGCTCAAAACTTCCCTGTAGCAGCAGAAGCCTTTGACTATGGCTGCCAATGTGAATATGACTGCACTGCAGTCTGACTCTCCAATTATGGCCGTTGATCATATGATGCTTGGTCACCTGACTATAATTGTAAGATAGTGTTGCTCATTAAAAAGCAATCTCTACTTCTAAAACCTACTCAACAGGAACTCCAGTGAAGTGTATCAAATTAGATAAAACAGAGAGAAACGGGCTGCGTATTGTGACGTTAAACAGGTCCCCACCTTTACCCCACCCAGCTGTGCTTAAACATAAACAGAACTGAACCATGTTTGGATAACCGTCCATCCATTCATCTTCCAACTGCTTAGCACAGCAGATAATCATACTGCCATACACAACTGTTACTTTAAGGAAAATTTATCATACACTCATCTTCTGTACCTGCATAGGGTCACCGGGGTTCGGAGCCTATCCCATTAATAACCCATCGCAGGGCACACGCACACCATTCACATCTATAGGCAATTCTTAGATTAATGTGTGTCCCTCCAATTCTTCTGCATGTTTTTGGACTGTGGGGGGAACCTGAGAACCTGGAGGAGGCGCCATGACGACGAGGGAGACGGAGACTCGGACCCTGGTCCTAGGGGCGTGAATCAACAGTGCTAGCCAGTATGCTGCCTCCTGAACTTGTTATTGTTATATAAATGAATCATGTTATTGGGGGTTCAGAAAACTCTCATTTCCTAGATTTTGCACAGATCAAAGTTCGCAGTTAAGATGACCGAAGGAGAAATGGTTAAAAAAATCTTTGACTAAAGTTTCCTCCTGTCTATAATTTTGTACTATACCACATTCAGCCATCGCCACACTGTGTTTTGCTGTGTAACATGATACAAGGTTAATGTCAGGAAATGGCCACGCCCAGCGTTTTATGTACAGTGGTACCTCAGTTCTCAAACTCATTAGAACTCGAATTTCTTAAAAATTGAACCAACCAGTTCGAAAAAAAAATGACCTAGAACTCGATCTGAATCTCATGCCTTGTCCACACATACACGGGTATATTTTAAAACGGTGTTTTTCCTCCTCTGTTTAAAAAAAAATCCCCGTCCACACGAACATTGTCTTCTAAAAAATTTCC